TGGTGTATCACAGTTATTGACCTGTGTGTGCAGAACAATCCTTGCACCACTAGGGTGAATCACACTAGATCATGGTGTACAATTTTTTGACGTGGAGCTGTATTGTGATGGATACTATTTTGTTAAGGATTTTTGCATCAATGTTCATTGAAGATACTTAGACTGTAGGTTGTTGCAGTTTTTAGTGTTGCTGTTGTTGTTTTGTCTTTGTATGGTATTGGTATCAAGGTGATAATGTCCTCATGAAATAAATTTGGGCGATTAGGAAAAAAAAGAAAAGAAATTGTAAAACTAGACAAAATTGTCAATAAACAACCTTTTTAAAAATTCAGGAAGTTGACCAAAGCATACAACAAATTGAGAACGGTTTGCTTAAGAGAATCTACTGGACCTCAGTAAGAACAGTGGATGTCTGTGGCATGTTAGCTTGAGGCTGCTCCCATTCCTCCTACGCTCCAGGTTTAATTATGCAAAAATTTACCTTGGTGGGTCAGACTGTGAGGACCAGCAGCCATATGGCTTGAGAAAGCTAAAGTTTCATTACCAGGGATGTTATTAAAATAATAGTGATCTCAGTGGCAAACAAGCAGGTGAGACCAGTGTCACTCCTAGCCTGATTAAGATCACAATTGTTGAGGCAAGAAATTTACTGGCAACCAGCTAGAAACTCAACAGAGAGAGTAAGAGAAAAAGACAGCCACAATGGACCTTGATAATATCCTCCTTATCTGGTATGGTGTGGAAGAATGTAAATATGTGCAAGGCTACGCACACACTAAGGAGACTGGCAGGGCCCTAGTATAATATTTTACTTATCCGTTGTGGTATGGAAGAATATAAACATGTGCAAGGCTGCACACACACTAAGGAGATTGGCAGGGCCCTAGTAACCCACTCACCCCTGGCTGAACAAGAGGACTTGCAAAAATAAATTAAAAGCTGGAGCAGAATTATAAGCAGCCTAAACTCTAAATACATTCCTCAATGTATTTCATTTTCATTGGAAAAAGGTAGAAGTCTTACTGGCTCAAGGTATTACTTTGCTAGGGCTGCCATAACAAAAGTACCACAGACTGTATGGCTTAAATAAATTTATTTCCTCACAACTCTACAGGTTATAAGTTCAAGAGCAAGGTGTTGGCAGGGTTAGTTTCTTCTGAGGCCTCTCTCCTTGGCTTTCAAATGGCTGTCTACTCCCTGTGTCTTCAAATGGCCTTACTTCCATGTCTGTGCCCTAATCTCTTATGAGGACAACAGTCATACTGGATTATGACCTCATCATAACTTCATTACCACTTTAAAGACCCTGTCTCCAAATACAGTCACATTCTGAGATACTTTGGGTTAGACTTTAAAATATTGGTTTTGTGGGATATAGTTCAGACCTAACAAGGTGTTTAAGCACAACCTCTGAACAGTCATTGCTGACCACTTATGCTGACCCAGGGGAGAACCCAAGGAAGCCAGTCTTAAAAATAAAAACAAGATTTTTTTAAAAAAATCAAAAAGTGAGTAGATATATCAGAAGCCACATACTGCAAGGGAAACAGACTCTACACAATTAGTGCAGGGAAGTCACTAAAAAGATAGCAGTAACCACTGCTTTTGGGAGAAGGTGAGGCAATCAGAATCCAAAGTTGCTATAATACATTATCTAAAATATCATTTTCAACAAAAAAAAA